CTGAACTGTTCAGCCAAAACCTTCCACAAATGCTTCCACTTAAAAACATCACCATTGTGGATATTAAACGCTTCATTTCTTGCATTAGGATCCACAGCTGCCCAAATTTCCTGCTCAGCAATCAGATCTGCATCAGATGCGATGGAATAAGCATCCCAAACAGACTCGGTCCCAGGGAACAGTAAAGGCATCCTTTCATGTTTACATATAGCAGCGTAAACACAAAGGGTGCCCATTATGTTCATCAAACTATATGGAGAAAACCCCAAAATTGTATGCGGCCTGTGCACAGACCAAGTTACTCCCTCTTTCTTTGCCACTTCCCCGGCCAGAATGTCTTCCAAATCGTAGTAAAAATTGGGTGCGCTTAATCTGGGCAGATCCTCCGTGTAAGGAGTGTCATGTGGTTCGATCTTGCCTACCAGCTCGAATGGACCAACATAGTGTTTAAGACCAGTTTGGAGGCAAACATGTTTGAGATTGAGGGCGTTGGGGATAACAGCCTGGAGGACATTGCGGAACATGAGGTTATTAGCTTCGATGTTCTCGGCCTCCGTGAATCGAAGGGCCCATGTGACGTAGAAAATGTGAGTAACATCAGTTAGCTGGGAGAGTTTTGCTTGAGTTTCCGCCGTGTTAGATATGTCACATTGGATGTATTCAACAGGGTGGTCTAAGTTCCAGTTTGGTCTTGGACGACGGGCCACTCCGTAGACTTTCCATGGTCCACCAGGTGTGTCGGAGAGTGGAAGGATTTCAGCTAAGCTGTTGCCAACAATGCCAGTTACGCCTATTACTAGGGCCACGCTCTGGTGTCCTCGGAACGCGTTGCCATTTTCAGACTGCTGCTGCAAAACATTTGCCCAAAAAATGAAACGTTAAGTAACAACATAATTCAAAAGTTGAAATAAAGTGAAGATTTGTAAATGGGATGGTTTGTTTTTACCTTGGCACCTCCAATTGCACCTGCCCACCACCGGCTCATTTTCTAGACTGGATTATTGAAGAAGTAGGAGAAATGGTAATGGATTATAAAGGGAAAAAAGGGAGGGATATAAAGGATACAGGAAGAGTCTAACTAACAGTCAATCTTTACTGTCTCGCAAGCCTGTCTGTTGTTTTGGGTGGGCGGGTGATGGTGTTGATTTTGGAGCTTGGAGGGATGCTATGTGGTAGGGGTGTTCAAAAAAACCGACCAACCTTTGGAGGGATGCTCTGTGGTGCCATTTTTTGAAGGTTGTCATATATAGATATGGCATGGACGACGGTTTGGAATAAATAATTTTTGCAGGCCCGCCCCGCGATTATCACCTATCTTGATTGTGTGTACAGTGTCAAATGTTATTTAGAAAAATTAAATTGTTGATATGACTTTTTTAAATGGTATAAATATAATTATTTTTTATTTATACTTCAATAGTAAAAAAAAATATTTTAACAATCCATTTATATTTAAATTTAATACTTTTAAGAAAATTTTAATTGATGAAATATTTTTTTTAATATTTTGACTCTTTTAATAGATATGTAAGAATGATTTTTTAGTCTCTTTTCATTTGATTTTTTCATTAGAGCTGCAAGATAAAGTAAAATGAAAACTCAAAAATTAAATATTTATTTTAGGCTCTCTTGTTATGGGGTGTTTGTCATTAAATTTTAACCTATCTTTCGCTAAAGTTTTATTTTTTTACTTTTAATTATTTTTTTAATTGTTTTAATATGTTTATACAAAAAAAATTAAAATATCAAAAAATATTATTTTAATATATTTTTTAATAAAAAAAACTTTAAAAATCAATCATTACCCTCCGACACTTACTAAAAATAACCTTAGAGAGGTTCAGGGCCGTTAAAAATGCTCACAATCTTGCAAACTCCCCTATGTACAGAGTAAAAAATAAAAACATTTTGACAGTCACTCAACGTTGCAATTGTTATTCCCCAGGAACCGAGCCCCAACTTTTCCCAAACATTGATTATTATAATTTTAACTCCTAGCCATAGCAGGTTGAGTTTGAAAGGGTGGTAAATGATATTTTTTAAAGTTTTTTTTAATTAAAAATATATATTTTATTATTTTTTTAAAAATATTTTCAATATTAATATATCAAAACAACCAAAAAATTTATTTTAAAGTAAATTTATTTTTTTAAAATAAAATTTCAAACACATTCCCAGACCGTTAGTTAGAGTATTAGTTTGTACAAGACATGGTCTGTGATATCACGAAGAAACATAAATTATCTTTTTGGTAGAAAATAATTTTTAGATATTGCAAATGTGTTTTGAAAAACATGCAAGAAAAATCTATGATTTGGGTAATAAATATGACTGAGTAAAAAGAATTGATTTTATTTTAATTAGTTGATAAGAAATTGATAACAATAAAAAACCAACTAGAACTTTTTAAAAAATGACCACGATAATTTAGAAAAATAAAAAAATAATATAATTTAATTTTTATCAATTAAATATAAAAAAATAAAAATAAATAAAAATAGATAAAAAAACCCTAACCGAAACTATCTCGAGTTAATATGACTAACATGTAACATGGGTAACAAGAGACAAAATAAATTAAGTTAACCTCTAAAATTTGCAATTTATATCATGGAATCATGAGAATCCAATAGAAAATAAATTAAAATAAATCATAAAATTCATTTTAAAAAAATATTAAATGATAAAATTTTTAAAAAATAAAAATAAAAGGATATCAACTCATGTTAATTGTTTAAACTCATAATTTAAGTTATTAGATCGAAGCATTATACATAAAAACATTACAAAGTCTAATCCCTAACTAATAAAATATTGAAAGATGAAATTGAGAAAAAAAATCAAATTATATAAAAAATACAAAATAAAAAATAATAGTTAAAAAAATAATGATCAAATTTAAATTAAAAGATAAATTAAAAAACAATAATAAATTTTCAATCAAATGATAAAATTGAAAAGAAAAATCATTTTAATAAAAAGACAAAAAAATAAAAAGAATAATATATTATAATTAAATTGGAGAATGAAATTAAAAATAAATAAAATTTTTATAAAATAAATAAAAATTAAAATTAAAATTAAAATTTCAGTAACTAAAAGAATACTTTTAAAAATTTTAATATCAAACATTATTTTTTTAAAAAAACACCATACCAACAACCATTAATTCAACTGCAAGCCTGCTAAAATGACGACGTTGCTCGCTAGAAGTTCATGGGAGGCTCTTATAGTTTTTGCACACACCAACTATTTTTTTCAAGTTTAGTAACATCTTATGTCTGCTAAAAGACATACGAACTTTAAAACTTTATATCTCAAAAGCTCTGTAAATAAAAAAGTGAAAAGAATTAAAAGCTCCAGAATGCCAATTATTTTTCCTTAGCCCCTAATTTTTTATTTATTTGTTTTTGGCACAGGTGTGGTTTCTGGTAGAAGAACACGACAAACGTGAAGTTCGTTGAATGTTTTTTTTTCTTCTAAAGGTAGGATACAAATATGCGGACATGGGCTTCTGCTGGAAGAGGGAAAAGGTGAATTGTTCTGTCAAGGCTCACAACAAACATTTACTTGTCTTTTAGGAGCAGGGCAACATGCAAAGTAATCCGGACACTTGGTTAGCTTCGTCGCAACAAACTTTCTTTCCAGACCCTGGTATTTTGATGCTTTTAGTTAGAAATGAATTATCATGATGTTATTTTATATTTCATTATTTATTTTAAAAATGAAATATTTAAACCATCTAAAAATATTTTTAAATAATAATTTAATATTTTTTATAAAAAAATAAATATAAAAAATACTTTAAAAATAATTTAAATCATAAAAACCCTCCCCGGGCTTGGGTCCATCAAGTGCTTGATGCGGGGGCTGGCTTACCTAACTCAAATTTATCTGCAACTGCACCTTGCAAGATGGATGGGTGTCTTAGCCCTGTTTGGGAGTGAGATAATGAGGTTTGTGGAAAATTATTTATTTTTATTTAAAATTATTTTTTTAAATTTTTTTAACATGCTGATAATTTAAAAATAAAAAATATTTTAATATATTTTTAAATAAAAAATACTTTAAAAAACAATCATTCCTTTAATAAATATGCTACTATGATGTTGTTGAAGGTTAACGCCTACTATAGGCCCAATATCTTCAGTCCACTCTGCAGATTTCACACGTCGAAGGAGTCGAGGCCTCTGGTTCTTAAGCCCTGCAATAGTTACATTCATAGCAATTAAACTCAGCCTCGCCCAAAACCTTTTTTTTTCAAACTTATTTTCCTTTTTCAAACTTATTTTGTGATTTTATATATGGAATTGATAATTTTTATTTTTAAAATATATTATTTTATATATATTTACATTGCTGATACAATTAATTCTCGTTGTCATTTTATTAAATAACACTGAATAAATATTAACTTAATTTATATATGTGTGTGTAAGTAAATTAACGTATAAAATGTAGATCTTTTCTATTTCGTAACATGATCAAATAATTAATTCAAGCTCATTTTATTGATGCATGATTTGACCTAATGATTTTTTTAATGAACGGATGAAAATTGAATCCAACCATGCTCCCTATATATATATATATATATATATATTCTGAAGTGGTCGTAGTAATTTTATTTTATTTTTTAATAATTAATGCAATGGTGGTAATCTTGGAAGAATTTTTCAGCCACCTTTCTTCCCTTCAGCAGTATCTGGTATTGTGATTAAATTTTAATTTATTTTTTGAACTATTTGCTTCCTCATGATATATAAATAAATTTAAAATAAATACTGGTACTAGTTCTCACATGCTCACCAACTTGAAAAGGTTACAACTTAATTACTCAAAATGTTCCAGAAATTGATCACTGTCAATGTGCTCGAGATTCCATTTTCCTGTTTAATAAAATAAACATTATGGTCTGCATATTTTTTTAGGAAAACAAGTGGCCAAAAAAGTATATCGAAGATATCGAGTCCACCACAATAAAATCTGGAAGTCACAAATCACAGTATCTCTCCCTCAGCACGCAACAATCCTGCTCTCCATCTACCTTCCATTGATCGAGCCACAACAGCTTTCTTACTCCTTGCCCTTTCCATCTTTCTCTCCACCCCTTCACTTCCTATGGTGGACAGCCCTGAAAAGTTGCAAGCAAAAGTGGCTGTCAACACTAGACTAAATAGTTCAAGCAATAGCTAGGTTGCAAGCAAAAGTGATTGTCACTCGCAACAATGGAGTACTAAATAGTTCAAGCAACAGGCACATGCACCAAGTTTAATGAAGAAATTGAGTGAAACATCTGAATTGGAAACAATTGTTTAAGTATGCACTATAATTAATGTGTATGATGAAAGCTCATATCGCTTACTGGAGATAAGACCTTTTTTCTCTATCATAATTCTCATCATCTCATCATATTTTTGCTTGTCATAATTCTCAGAGTCACAATCCAGTTCTTGCACTCTACTTGATTGATTGTTTGATGTTTTTGACTTCAGATTGGCAAAAACCCACGTAGCTTCCATCTGTTTGCTGATCATACGTGCTGCATGGTATGGAATTTTCACACCTTTGGCTGTTTCAGTCTTGATGCAGCCATTCAGGAACATTACACAGTCCATCAAGCTTTCTTTGGCCAACCTTTTTATGTCAAAGGCCTGTGATCTTCTCCATAGGCTCTTGCTGTGAGAATTTGCAGGAGTGGACAGGCACAGAGCTCTAGTTAAGTCACTAATGGCAGCATCTGGGTTCCCAAGCAGCAAGCGACACTGAGCTCGGTCACTGTAAAGTGCCACTCTCTCTTTTCTTAACCTCAATGGACATACATCTAGTGCTTCAGTATACTTCACCAATGCTTCTTCTATGTTTCCTAGCCAAAACATGTGGTTGCCCTGTTGTTTTATAAAACCCGCCAAAACCCTTCTGTCTTCAACCATTTCTTCAGTCATTGTTTTCTCTCGTTTTCTCCTCTCTACCTTCAAATCCCAAATTTCTTGCATAACTTTTTGAACTTCATTGTTCTTTAATTTCAACATGCTTTGTCTGTAATAAAAAAGAAGTACTCTTGCGATTGCTTCTCCTACATTTGATCGATTGCCAAGGCTCCTGAGTTCAACCAAATCCACAAGAAACAAGGCGGAAACTTCTATGACTTTAAACCTGGTATCTTGGTCCTTGAGAAGTAATAGAAGACAATCAATACCAATGTACTGCCAATCATCTGAAGATCTCGAGAGATTACAGAGACTTCTTACAACTTCTTTGGATTCAGCAATACTCTTTCTTCCGTATTTGCTGTAACATAAAATTCTAATGAGTCCAACCCCAGCAGGTGATACGTGATTCATCACCAATCCACCCCACATTTCACACAAATCTCTGAAAAAATCTTGCTTACAAATGAGATTCAGAGACCTTTCTTTGCAAGCAAAGCAATTTAAGAGATTGAGAGACCAGCGTTGAAGTTGGCAAGCCCACTCCTCTGCTTTCCTGTTCTCAGTGTCTAGCCCTCCAACACCTCTTGTGAGCAAGTCACTATGATACTTCAGCCTCTCCTTTGCATCCCGTACCCCAACGAATTTTGAGTACACCACTTCAAGGCAATTGGAAGCTAACCGCATAGCTGATTTCACCACATCTTCTTCATACATTGCTACTGCATCAAACGTTTTCTCAAAGCTTGCATGGTGACCCAGAGCTCGAACGGCAACTCTTTGCTCCACCCAACTAATCCTTCCTCTTAAAAGATCCATTAATGGAGGTATCACACCAGATTGAACAGCTTTCTCTGCAAACTTAACCTTGTTCATGGTGTAAGAGCCAATAATATGAGCTGCATAATAAGGGATGTAAATGTTTTGATCCTTAAGAAGCCAACTTCTATTATCAATACCTTTCTGGATCAAACTTGCCATGCAGTGGAAAACACCGAGGGATGGGAACTCTGGATCATCTGGTTGTGTCATAGCAATATTCCATAGACCGCTAAGAAATATATTTAATTTTAATACTTTTAAGAAAATTCTAATTGATGAAATATTTTTTTAATATTTTGACTTTTTTAATAGATATGTAAGAATGATTTTTTAGTCTCTTTTCATTTGATTTTTTCATTAGAGCTGCAAAATAAAGCAAAATGAAAACTTAAAAATTAAGTATTTATTTTGGGCTCTCTTGTTAGGGGGTTTTTGCTATTGAATTTCAACCTATTTTTTTGTTAAAGTTTGATTTTTTAAAAAAAAAAATTAATCATTTTAATATATTTATATTAAAAAAATTAAAACATTAAAAAATATTATTTTAATATATTTTAACCAAAAAAAAACTTTAAAAATCAATCATTAACCTACGACACTAACTAAAAATAACCTTAGAAAGGTTCAGGGCCGTTAAAAATGCTCACAATCTTGCAAGCTCCCAGTGAAAAATAAAAACATTCTGAAAGTCACTCAACGTTTCAATTGTTATTCCCCAAAAACCGAGCCCCAACTTTTCCCAAACATTGATTGTTATAATTTTAGCTCCTAGCAATAGCAGGTAGGGTTTGAACAGGTGGTTATCAAAAAAATTATTTTTAAGATTTTTTTTTAAATAAATATAATTTTAAACGTGTTCTCAGACAGCTATTTAAAATATTAATTTGTACAAGATATGGTCCTGTGCTACCATGGAGAAACATAAAAAAATTTTTTATAGAAAATAATTTTTAGATATTGTAAATGTGTTTTTAAAAGTATAGAAGAAAATCTATGATTTGGATAATAAACATGAATACGTAAAAATAATTGGTTTTATTTTAATTAGTTGATAAAAAATTAACAATAATATCAAACAAACTAGAACTTTTTAAAAAATGACCATGATAATTTTTTAAAAATAAATTAATGTAGTTTAATTTTTAATTAATTAAATATAAAAAGATAAAATTAGATAAAATTAAAAAAAAATCCCGACTTGAGTCAGCTTGAATTAGTATAATTAACATGTAATATAGATAACAAGAGGCAAAACAACTTGGGTCAACCTCTTAAATTTGCAATTTAAATCATAAAATAAAGATAATTTGATATAAAATAAATAAAAAAATCATAAAATCTATTTTAAAAAACAACATCCAACAATAAAATGAAAAAAATGAAAAGATGTCAAATTATCAACTTAAAAAAAAAGAAATGAAAGGATGTCAAGTTGTCAACTAATGTTAATTGTTTAAACTTATGAATTAAATTACTAGATTAAAAACATTATTCATAAAAACATACATAAGCCCAATTATTAACCAATAAAATATTGAAATATAAAATCAAGGAAAAAAATTAAATTATAAAAAATAATATATAAAAAAATAACAATTAAAAGATTAATAATAAAATTTAAATTAAAAAATAAATTAGAGGATAACAATGAATTTTTAATTAAATGGTAAAATTGAAAATAACAATCATTTCAATAAAAAGGCTATATATATATATATATATAATAGTTAAATTGAATGATGAAATTGAAAAAATATATTTTTTTATAAAATAGTAAAAAAAATAAAAATCAAAGTTAAAATATAAATAACTAAAAGAAAACGTTTAAAAATTTAAATATCAAACATTATTCTAAAAAAAAAGAAAAAAGAAAAAAGAAACCCTACCATCGCCCATTCATTCAACTGCAAGCCTGCTAAAAGAACGACGTTGCTCGCTGGAAGTTCATGGGAGGCTTGTACATTTTTGCATACACCAGCTATTTTTTCAAGTTTAATAACATCTTATGTTTGCGAAAAGACATGCGAGCTTTAAAACTTCATATCTCAAAAGCGATTGAGTCATTTCACTGTAAAAAAAAAAGTGAAAAGAATTAAAAGCTCCAGAATGTCACTTATTTTTCCTTAGCCCCTAATTTTTTATTTATTTGTTTTTGGCACAGGTGTGGTTTCTGGTAGAAGAACAAGACAAGCGTGAAGGTGGTTGAATGTTTTTTTTTTTTTTTTATTAATTTTTTTTCTAAAGTTAGGATACAAATATGCGGACATGGGCTTCTGCTGGTAGAGGGAAAAGGTTAATTGTACTGTCAAAGCTCACAACAAACATTTATTTGTCTTTTAGGAGCAGGGCACCATTCAAAGTAATCCAGACACTTTAGCTTCGTCGCAACAAACGTTCTTTCCAGACCCTGCTATTATGATGCTCATAGTTTTTTTTTTTTTTTGTTAATTAGTGTGGGTGTCCGGGCCAGCTTGTGCGCACCACGACTAATCCTACGGACCCTAAAGTTAACGACCATCTAAACCTCCAGTGACCATCATATGAGCAACCAAGGACTCGAACCTGAGACCACAGAGAAAACAAACCCCTTAGTTCCAAGTCTTTACCACTTGACCACCACCTAGATAGTTATGATGCTCATAGTTAGAAATGAATTATCATGATGTTATTTTATATTTCATTATTTATTTTAACAATGAAATATTAAAACCATCTCATTTTTTTTAATAATAATTTAATATTTTTTTAAATAAATAAATATAAAAAATACTTTAAATCGTCCATCAAGTGCTTGTGACCAAACTCAAATTTATCTGCAGCTGCACCTTGCAAGATGGATGGGTGTCTTAGCCCTGTTTGGGAGTGAGATAATGAGGTTTGTGGAAAATTATTTATTTTTATTTAAAATTATATTTTTAGATTTTTTTGACATATTGATGATAACAATAATTTTTAAAAAATAAAAAATATTTTAATATATTTTTAAATAAAAAATACTTTATGTTGTTGAATGCTAACCTAAAAAAACCCATTACACAAATGGACTCCTCTATTGAAGGTTAAGGCCTACTGTAGGCCCAATATCTTCAGTCCATTTTCAAGAAGTCCACTCTGCAGATTTCACACCTCTAAGGAGTCGAGGCCTCTAGTTCTTAAGCCCAGCAATAGTTACATTTATAGCAATTAAACTCAGCCTCGCCCAAAACTTTTTTTTTATATAATTTTTTTTTAACTTGTGATTTTATATATGGAATTGATAATTTTCATTTTTAAAATATATTATTTTATATATATATATATATTTACGTTGCTGATACAATTAATTCTCGTTGTCATTTTATTAAATAACACTGAATAAATATTGACTTAATTTATATATGTGTGTGTGAATTAACGTATAAAATGTAGATCTTTTCTATTTTGTAACATGATCAAATAATTAATTCAAGCCCATTTTATTGATGCATGATTTGACCTAATGATTGTTTTAATGAGCGGATGAAAATTAAATCCAACCATGCTCCCTATATATATATATATATATATATATGTATGTATGTATGTATATGTGTTTGTGTGTATTCCGAAGTGGTCATAGTTATTTTATTTTATTTTTTAATAATTAATGCAATGGTGGTAATCTTGGAAGAATATTTCAGCCACCTTTAAACTTCCCTTCAGCTGTATCTGGTATTGTGATTAAATTTTAATTTATTTTTTGAACTATTTGCTTCCTCATGATATATAAATAAATTTAAAATAAATACTGGTACTAGTTCTCACATGCTCACCAACTTGAAAAGGTTACAACTTAATTACTCAAAATGTTCCAGAAATTGATCACTGTCAATGTGCTCGAGATTCCATTTTCCTGTTTAATAAAATAAATATTGCACTTGGATTCAAATTTTATTTTGTACACCTGTCATTACTTCAGTGTCTTACTTGTTTACTGGGCTTACAGAATGTTCAGTAGGCTATAAAAATTAATCGTGGTGCACATAAGCTGACCCGAACACCCCACATAAATAAATAAATAAATAAATAAATAAATAAACAAACGGTCTGCATATTTTTTCAGGAAAACAAGTGGCCAAAAAAGTATATCGAAGATATCGAGTCCACCACAATAAAATCTGGAAGTCACAAATCACAGTATCTCTCCCTCAGCACGCAACAATCCTGATCTCCATCTACCTTCCATTGATCGAGCCACAACAGCTTTCTTACTCCTTGCCCTTTCCATCTTTCTCTCCACCCCTTCACTTCCTATGGTGGACAGCCCTGAAAAGTTGCAAGCAAAAGTGGCTGTCAACACTAGACTAAATAGTTCAAGCAATAGCTAGGTTGCAAGCAAAAGTGATTGTCACTCGCAACAATGGAGTACTAAATAGTTCAAGCAACAGGCACATGCACCAAGTTTAATGAAGAAATTGAGTGAAACATCTGAATTGGAAACAATTGTTTAAGTATGCACTATAATTAATGTGTATGATGAAAGCTCATATCGCTTACTGGAGATAAGACCTTTTTTCTCTATCATAATTCTCATCATCTCATCATATTTTTGCTTGTCATAATTCTCAGAGTCACAATCCAGTTCTTGCACTCTACTTGATTGATTGTTTGATGTTTTTGACTTCAGATTGGCAAAAACCCACGTAGCTTCCATCTGTTTGCTGATCATACGTGCTGCATGGTATGGAATTTTCACACCTTTGGCTGTTTCAGTCTTGATGCAGCCATTCAGGAACATTACACAGTCCATCAAGCTTTCTTTGGCCAACCTTTTTATGTCAAAGGCCTGTGATCTTCTCCATAGGCTCTTGCTGTGAGAATTTGCAGGAGTGGACAGGCACAGAGCTCTAGTTAAGTCACTAATGGCAGCATCTGGGTTCCCAAGCAGCAAGCGACACTGAGCTCGGTCACTGTAAAGTGCCACTCTCTCTTTTCTTAACCTCAATGGACATACATCTAGTGCTTCAGTATACTTCACCAATGCTTCTTCTATGTTTCCTAGCCAAAACATGTGGTTGCCCTGTTGTTTTATAAAACCCGCCAAAACCCTTCTGTCTTCAACCATTTCTTCAGTCATTGTTTTCTCCTCTCTACCTTCAAATCCCAAATTTCTTGCATAACTTTTTGAACTTCATTGTTCTTTAATTTCAACATGCTTTGTCTGTAATAAAAAAGAAGTACTCTTGCGATTGCTTCTCCTACATTTGATCGATTGCCAAGGCTCC